TTCCCCCAATGAAGACAAGCCATGTCCTTTGCTTTTACTAAAAATGGCCGGGCACTTTGCTTCTCTAAAAAAATGCCAGGCACTTTGCTTCTCCTAAAATGGCTAGGCACTGTCAGACGGAAAAGGAACAGAAGCAAGTCAAAAAGAAATCCTTGGCTGGACGCGGATCTATGGTCGGGAGAAAGAGAGAGGAAAATCGAAGGGTCCGGGGTATTTCTAGGGTTCTCCTTTTGTATGTATTGCTTGGTTATACATATAGCGCTAAAAGTCAGAGAGAGGACATGTATGTTTGTTCACTTTACTTGTAGATCTGTGGATTTGGGAGGATTTGTTGATGGATTCTTAGTTGAATGTGCTGTGGGTTTAAAAAATATTGAATATACATGCAAAATTTCAGGGTATTTCAGTATATTTGGATGCATTTAGGATGCATTTTTTGCTGGTGGTGTTTGTTGATTTTTCTGCCTTTTCCAGAATTTTTCTCGAGTTTTTTTAATTGCCCGAATCTGGAATTCTCGTGGGCAATCCGGCCGGAATTCTTAGATTCCGCCGGGTTCTGACTTTGGATCGCCACCGGCCGCCGACACAGTCCCCAGACTTCTGTTCTCTTTTTTTAGGATTGTTTGTTTTGGGCTAAGCCCAATGGCTTTTTTGTAGGCTTAGAAAAGACTAAAATTAAAACAGGCCAAGGCCCAATTGATGTTGACCCAACCCCTTACTTTGATTAAGTTAATTATTTAATTAATTGGATTAATGAAATTTAATTGGTTTGAATTAGTTACCTTAACCATTTTAATTAAATTTAATCAAATCCTGATTAACTATATTAATTAAGATTTGATTAAATTAATTAAGATTAATTTAAAACAACTAATTGCTATTAAGAGTCGTCTAACTTATACTTTAAAGACACAAATTAAGTTTTATTAATTATAATATCTATAATTAATTTTGTACAAATTTTTATATTAAATTTATATTTTTTGTTATAGATTTTGAGTAAAATATTAAATATTTTATTTCAATTTTACATTTATATATTATTTAATTGAATTTAATATAAAAATTTATAGAAAATTAATTACAAATATTACATTTATTGAGACTTAATTTGTACTTTAAGGTATAAATTAGAAAATTCCTAACCATTAATTAATTGGATTTGTCTAATTTGTACCTAGGGTGCAAGTTAAGGCCAATTAATTAGAGTATTTTTAATTAAATTTTACACAAATTTTTATATCATATTCCTAATTTTTTTTTATAGATTTTGAATAAAAATATTGTATTATATTATATTTTTACATTTTATATTTTATTTATTTAAATTGAAAATTTGTGTAAAATTAATTATAGATATGGTAATTAATGATGTTTAATTTAACCTATGCTCTAATAGCAAGTGTTAGAAAGTCCTTAATTAGTTTTAATTATGCAAAATTAATTATCTTAATTGCGATTTAGCTTAACGAATCCGGTCTAATTAACCTAGTTACAAGTCAATGTCCACTTTCTTAAGTACCTTATAATTTCATCCCCCTCTTTTCAAAATTGTGCAATTAAGTCTTTAATTTCTGAGTCGTTTAAATGCACCCAAAAACTTTTCAAATCTATACAGTTAGTCCCTCTGTTTTTGTTTGTTGCAATGTGGCATATGCACCCCAGTTTCTTTCAATTAAACCCAAAACTTTCAATTATCATTTTTATACCCATAGATGTTTGATTTGCCTCACTTAAGGTCATTAATTTAAAGAGATTTTAACAAGTTGAAATAAACTCTCTAACTTTAAAGTGTAACCGTGTTTTACACAGTGAATTGTGGGATGCATATTTGTCCTTCCTCACTCCTAACCGAAACTCCAAACCCCACTCTATCACAAATTATGGTGAACTACTCCACCATTATTTGAGTAGGTGGCAACTCTCATTTTTGTCATTAGAATTTAATTTTTCATTTTTTGAAATGTTAGGCTGGGGCATTAACATTTAGTTCTTTTTCACTTACCTTTACCTTTAAGCCTTAAGGGTTGGAGTACCACAAAGGTTGTCTTCAACTATTGCCCACATAATCCTTCTTTTAGTTCTCCTTTTCTATTTTCTTCTATCTTTATGATAAGAAAAATCTATTATTAATAGCCCAAAAAAAAAAACCTAAACAAAATTTCAATACAAAATTTATCAAGTTTTCTTATTGTACTTAAAACGTTGAATTAATATTGTACCTAATATCATGTTTATTTAGTCTTGATTTTATTAATATATAGTTGAATGGATTTAATATGTTTTTATTTGATTATACATTATGTTCATTATTTATGTAAGATAGGACTTAACTTTTAGAAATATAATAAATTTAAAACTAAATCACAATGTTTTACAAAGTAGAAAAATGAATAAATTGGAGATTAGGCACCAGATTGTTGAATTTTGAAATTGACCAATTGTAGAATTCTAAAATCTAAGGACTAAAGTGTAAAATTTTTTCGAAGGTTAGGGACTAACACTGTAGTTTTACCAATAAAAAGTCAAAAATCCAACATGGAATTATGTTACGTGCCGTACCTCTTCACTATTTTTTTTTTTTCTCTTTTGTTTGTCTATTTATATAATTGTAGCCTAATAATAGGCAATTGGAGTGCATCAGAATAATAATAATAATAATATGTAATTGGAAAGATATTAAAAAAAGGTAAGTCAAATCCTATGTATAATAAGAAAGTGCCAATAAAATCAATAAGAAACCAAATTTTATTAATGTTGGATGTGAATTGTTTTAATGATTTGAATTACTTTTTAATATGTATTTTTTTTAAATCTCATTGAATATTTATTAGAATTTTTTAAAATCTATTAGGTATTTATTTAAGATTTTTTAAAATCCAACTATACTTAATAAAATTTTTTTAAAAATTTATAACTATAGTAGTTTTATATATTATTAAAATAAGATATTGATAGACAAAATTAGTACTCATTTATATGCAACTTTGTTGCTATGCTGAGCGGAGTCCAAAGCCCCCATCTTCTTTCTTTAAAGCAGGAAAAACATGGCACTGGATAAGAAATAAGCAAGTTAGAGTACCATGACACAATTAGTTTGGTTCCTTTAATCAATCCCTGAATATAGCTTTATTTGCTCGGTAGCTGTACTGGATAGATTAATAATGAGAGCCAAGGAAAAGAAATGGTCTCAAGAAGCGTTTGGCAAATTTTGAGCAATTTGGCAGGTATTCCATTAATGGATTCTTGGCAAAGGCTTTTAATGTGAATGGGAAAGCGGATAAGAAACAAATCCTTGTATTGGACACTTATCAAGTTAATATATGGAGTGCTGCAATCTACCTTGTCTAGATGGAAAGGAACCTAAGAATCTAGCTATCAGCAACAGCAATCTTTAAAACAAAACAGGTAGTATGTGAAGAAGGGTAGTTTGATGTAAAACGTAGGATTTAAGGATTTGCAAAGGTGAAATCCTCATCTCTACCTGTGTCCCTAGCAATCAATATGGGGATTGAAGCTGTTGTACAAAGATAGTATAGTTTAAATAGTTTCTGTATTTTATTCTTTATAGTAGTTCTAGAGGTGTTTATATTCCGATCCAATCTAATTAATTTAACCTAAATTAACTCAATCCAATAAAAAACCAAACCAAACCAATATAAAATTAAGTTTGTTTGAATTATAAAATTTTAAAACTGACATAATTGGTTTGGTTTGTAATTTTACCTTTAAACTGCCCAAATTGCCTAATTACAAAGTAAAATATGATTACAAGATAATTTAATTAAATAATATAATATATTTTTTGTAGTATTTTAAATTTTCTTTTACTTGTTTTACAAGATAATAACTTCATTAACTTAATTAAAAAATAAAAATATAATATTTCCATATTCCTTAATTTATTTTTCTTTCTTAATTATGTACATTAACTCTAATTTTAAATTTCTATTTCACTTGCAACACTATGCCTCAGAATTTGTTTAAGACTCTACTTTTAGAACCTTAAATTTCTAACCTTTTCTAAAATGATATTTCGATTCTCCTAACTAAACTTTAAAATAATATTATTCTAGAAATCTTAAAACTATATAATATAATTAATTTTAATATTTTACTATTTTTAGATGTTTGGTTGAAGAGTTTTAAATCTTGATTATGAATGTTTCTAATTAATCCTAATAATATTCATGTTAGATTTTATTCGTTTTTAATAGGGTTTGGAAAATTGGATTGAATCATTGGTGTATTATTAAGAAAAAAAAACTAGTTTTAATTTTTAAAAATTACTTGCACTATGCTTAAAACTTGGAGTTATCTTTTATTATTCTTAGTGCCTTTAGTGATGTAGCCAAAAAAAATTTTAGATCTTTTAATCTTTATAATTGTAAAGGAGTATAAGAATTTATTTATAATTTGTATCTTTTATTATATTTTTATTGATTTAAATATTAATGTGTTTTATAGTTATGTAATCTACTTGATGTTAAATTTTTTTACGTTATCTCATATATTTAAGTGTAAAAACCCCATCAATCCAACTGAATAACACCAATTTGATTTAAATTGGATTGATTTGATTATTATATAATAGTGGATTAAATTAGTTTAAAAATTTTACTAACCAATTAAATTAAATTGGTTTAAAAAATATTAAAATTTAAACCAAACTACATTGCGAACACCTCCAGTAGTAGCAATAAATTACTATTTGCTTGTGTCTACACAACTATATACTAAATAAATAAATTCACCTTTTATCCAAAAAAAAAAAAAAATACAAACAAGCTATACATCTATACATAGAGTCCCAATTCAAATACCATCCTCTGAATTTGTAGGAGTATGAATATTGCATTGTCACTTGGATTGTGGGGATGAGCACTGTGATCACTGTGAAGAATGGAGACATTCCTGAGACAACAATTCAGGAACTCCCTCCGAAGATGCTTGCTTGTGATGAGACATTTATTAGTCTCAAAGGGGCTGACCGATTTATTGTTCTACTCTGAATTGTAGGCTCTCCAACACTTTTTACACTTTTTAAGTTAGGTTTTTCTATCCTATACCACACAGGATAAGAGTGTATTTATTACACATTTTTACTATTAATACATATAGTAAAATTAAAAATTAATATTAATTTTACCAATTATCCAAGTGAAAAATATCCATGTGTTATAAATGTTAAAATTAATACTAATTTTTTATTTTTTATATAA